CGCATCAGACGGTTATATAAGCGACCCACTCTACAGCCACGTCGCCTTTCCATGGCGTTCCAGACATGTGAATTCGTGCGTCTTTGACATTTGCATCGTTACCTGTACTGTAAAGAGCAGGAGTACGTTGATGGAATGCCTAAATGTGGGCGTAGCATCGATCCAACACTATCTTACAAAAGAGAGAAACTAAACACCCTATAGCCTACATTAACATGAAAACGTGCAAAGTAGGGGACCTAACGTCAACGTCGGCTCTAGGGTTTTCAGTTTCTCCCTTGTATCAGGTGGTCACCACCCCATTCATCTCATAATCCTCTCCCAAAATGTCAGCCCCTCCCGTACATCCACTGCCTTAACCCTCATCTCCACCCCCTTCTCCTCCCTCCCAGGCATCGTCAAAAACCCCATCCTTTGATTCCCTTCCACGATTAAGCTACACACCGAGATCGTTACAGTCTCCAATTCCGGCGCTCCGAGCCCGGCGATCAAGCTCGTAAGACTACCCTTCGGGCCTAGCTGTAAGCACAGCTCCAACATATCCTGTGCGTCCGTGTAGTCGATATCGATATGCTTGACCATCTCCCTGAGGTGCTTAGGTAGGATAGCAAAAGCGGAGAGGACGGTGTATTTGTAAGTTATTTCGCCTTTGATGTTGATATGTAAGGTATCTGTGTCTGGCACGAAGAGGACGGGTTTGGTCGCGCCGGATTTGATTCCATCCTTTGAGTTGGAAACAGGGAGGTGGAGGTGATGCGGCGCGGCGAGAAATTTGCACTCGGCGGAGAAGAACTTGCTGGTTAGGTGCAAGGTGATGTCCCGATTGACAGAGGCGTGGACTCGGTAATGTACTGAGCAGGGAATGCTTGCTGCTAGTACGGAGGCTGTGGAATTGGGTCGGCGAAATTTGATGTCGGCGTGGAGATGTCGTGGTGATGCGTGTATGGCATTGTTCCAAGCGTATTTGATGATGCGGGCTTGGAGTTCTGCGGGAAGGGAATTGAAGGAATCGAAGACTGATGCGGGTTCGTCTACGGGAAGTGTTGGCTGTGAATTTGGCTTGCCTTGCATGATGTTGGATTTTGGCATGTTTGAAGCGGTCTTTATAATCTTGATGGTATGAAAGCGGTGATGATAGAAGAGTGAAAAATGGTTATTAGGTAGTATCCTGTGAGATTTCAAGAACGAAAATGAAAGGCGAGGGCAAGACTTGGTGTTTTTAATATACACAGCATTAATTGAGGAATTAACGTACCTTGGTTAAGATGTGGCAGTCGCGCTGGGTTTAGACGAGACAATACGCCCAAAGACGATACACGACACAGCCACCTCATACAGGACATGTTTGAACAGGTCTGCAGCCTACACCAACGTAGAAACATACAAAATAGATTACCCAACATAAAGGTAGGCTCCAGAGTGTTCAAGTTTTTCCTTATTTGTGATGCATCAAGAACATGAACAGACCGAAAACGATTGCTCACGCATATTTCTTAATGTTTTGTGATTACAGTACATAGATACCATACTTCATCGAAAGCCTTGCCCCAGCGATCCAAAACATGGAAGCCAAGGACCACATAAAGCGCCGATCCACCCATCCTGGTCCCATCTAAACAGGGACTTGAAAAGGAAAACCCGCACAACCCACGCCCGCTACGAAGAAGGTATGGAAAATCGCTCCCAGAAAACATGATAAAAGCTAGAGCACATGGTTGCGGATGTCGCCAGAGACGAACTCGCCTGGAACAGACCGCGTCATGTTTGCTATGGCAGCCATTAGCACGGAACCGAAGAAGAAAGAAGGGGTATCAGAGTCGGTGAGGATGTGGAGGTGCGGTCAGGCAGTGTTTATGACTCGCCTCCTGTTGATGCTGCGGGAGCACCTTCACCACCTCTGAATGATCCCCTTCCTCCGCGGCCTCCGCGTGCGCCTCGCTCGCCACCTCGTCCACCACGAGAAGCACCGCCACGGCCTCCGCGACCGCCGCGACCACCCTCGCTGTCTGAGGCACCTCCACTTCGGTAGCCGCCGCCTGAGACGCCACCACGGGTGCTGGCTTGCCAGCTGCCGGCTCCGTACCTAGGCTGGTTGGGACCAGGGCCGCGCTCGTTGTACACCTTGACGGTCTTGTTATCTGGGCCGCCCCTAGCGTTCCTGACGTCGTCCGCAACACGACGAAGCGCACCGTGCATGTCCTGCGAGGTGGCGAAGTGGGCGACGAAGAAGTGCTTGATCTTCTCCATCTTCTCGACCTTGGACCTGTCTTCCTCTGCGAGCAGACCCTTGGCTTCTTCCTCATCCTTTACACCGGCGATAAAGAGACCCTTGCTCTCCTTGCGCTCGACGGGTTCCCGGGGAGCGGGAGATGTAGCCTTCTCCGGTGCGCCGGTGCCATTGGGCTTGACCTCGCTTGGAATGGACTTTTCAGCAGCATTTACTGCTGTGTTGTTGGCCGGAGGCTGGGGTGTAGCGGCCTTCACGGACTCCTTGGGTGCAGCAGCAGGGGCGGGCGAGGGTCCGGTTCGTGCAGCCTGGCCGGCATTCTGCTTCTGCTGTTGAGGAACCGGTGGGGTCGCAACGGCAGGGCGGGGCTGCTGAGGAGCGTTCGCTGGTGGTCCGGCTGAACGACCTGGGGCAGGCGATGGCTGGGCGGAGGGGCTGGGGTTCACGGCAGCTGGGGGACCAGTGCTGGTGTTTGCAGCTGCGGGCTGAGTCTGGCCAGGTGCAACCTTTCCGCCTCGGTGAGCGAAGTTGAAACCTTGGGCCCTCATCTCAGTACCGATTCTGCCATTGTCAATGTCCAGTACGAGCCAACCGTAAGCCGCATCCGCAAGGTTGAAGTTCCACATGTTCTTGAAAGCGCTCTCGTCGATTTGGCCGCTCTGAGGACCAGGAGCAGGGCCACCGAATGGGTTGCCGCCGTTGGCTACGGTTGGCATCTTGTTTACTATGTCAAGTGCCAGTGCCAGCAGGCGTTGTTGAGATTCGCTGTCAGCGACCGCGGGCTCGACTTCAGTCTTGACTGTGTCCCAAACATCGTTGAATGAGGCCTTGGATGCAGCGAGCTTTCCGCGGTAATGGTCGAGGGTGGGGTTGACACTGAACTCGTTGTAGGAGCTACCGTAGCGGAAATGCAGACCCGCGGAGACGGAGAAGTCGGCCTTGAGCGTGACGGACAGCTGGTTGAGCAGGCCTTCGCGAGCAGGAGATGCGTGGGTGACGAATATGCGGGTTTCGGTCGGGTCGTATACGCGGTTGGCTGTGTCGACCAGTTCGCCCATCTGTAGCAGGGTAGTCCACATGGTGCCCTGTCCACCTGCAATGGTCGTCCTGCCCTCGCCGTTGTCGAAGAGCTTGTGCATGACGACAGCGCCACCGAGACCGAGCAGGCGCAGCTTGACGCCACCTACATCGAGCAGCCGCGAATGCGCCTCATCGATGATGTGCAGGTTGTCCACCTTGTACTCGCCCGATCGCAGCTTCTCCAGGACCTGAACATCCTCGCAAGCACCCCATACGGTGTATACTGGCACGTTCAGGGTGTATGTCTTGTTGAGGAAGAGGGGCAGTTCTGAGAGTGGCAGGTGCTCCCGTGCGAAACGCTCCTTGATAGGCGGTTGCGGAGGGGCTGTGGCAATGGAGCGCTTAACTGCATCTGACAACAGCGGTGAGTATTGTGCCACGTGCTTGAGAGTCTTCTCGGCGATGCGATCGAGCGAGCGGTCGTCGTAGAAGCCAAAGTCGCCGGTGTGGATGATGTAGTTTGCGCGGGCGTCGGCGGCGAGCTGGTTTAGCGATTGCAGGTTTCCTGACCGATGTTAGCGATGAATTTGATGCTCGGGTATTGTTATCGCCCTCACCTCGGACATCTGCAATGCACAGCACTCGTACGCTTCCCTGCTGGATCACGCGGCCCTGGTTTGGGAGCAGCGGGACAGCTCCAGGCGCTGGGCCTGAGGGACCACCGGGAGCGCCGCCATTAGGGAGGTAGTTGCCTGGGTAGGGGCGCGGCTGGTTGGGAGCTTGCTGGATGAGGTCAGTATCGATGTCACATGTTGTCAGACTGGAGCGGCAATTGCCAGACATACTGAAGCCATGGAGTCGGAGGCGGAGGGGTCGAGCAACGTGTCCTGGTGAGGTATGCAGATGGCTGGGGTGGGCGGCGGAGATGGGGTGGGGTATTACAATTTCGGAGTAAGAGAGAATGTAGTGGAAGAGCCTCCTCTTTAGTGATGGCAGCGGCGAGTTGTCTGGTCTGCCGTTGCTCCTTCTGTTTTTGCTAACAGCTTTCCGCCGCACAGACCCTGGCCTAGCGCGTCCTATCAAGTCTCGTTGGAGCTGTCTGGAACCTCTACATCTCCAGCTCCCCCAGCTTCCTCCATCCATTGAGCTTTGTTTCCTCATGGTATCGCTGTTTCTTCATCTCATTTCTGTCATGGAAGCTTCTGACAAGATGGCTTTCCTCTGCATTACCTCCCGGCATGCACATGGCCTCACTGCCAGCCATCGCGGTCTCGTTTTCTAGCTACCTGAAGAGCTGTCACCGACTTCAGGTGATGGCATTTGACACACTACTTCCTCCATATGGCTTTTCTTCGATCTCTCTACGAGCAGCTTCAATGCTCGAGCTCAAGAACCTCTGCCAGCTCGCACAGTCGATCCCCAGCGCAGTCTACCAACGCACCAGGTCAGACTCTACGACCACTAGCCAACAGGGACACCGAAAGGAGAGTCCCCACCGAAGGCTTTCCGCGCTGCTACGTGCTCGTGCAGCGTTTGCTTCTCGAGTTTGCCGCGCTCGTTTGCCATTGGTCGGTGAACCGGCTTACCTAACTTTTGGACCCTAATTTTTGGACCCACTAAAAAAGTTGAAATCCCACCTTCTTCTATCGAGCGGCGCTCTTTTTCACAACTGTAAATATCAAAGGTCTTCGCTGCCCCGCGATAGATCACCACAGCCTTGCTTTCTACACAACCACACCGTGAGAGCATCGCCATGGACGAGCAACAGTTTGTCCAGCTGCTCGAGGGCCTCATGGAGCGTATGTTACCCAACCCCGCTCTACCACAGAACCTGGACTGACTTTCTCCAGCCGACACCGAGCGTGTCAAATCCGCTACCTCTACCCTCAACAAGAACTACTACAACTCCCCCGCCTCTCTCAATGCCCTCCTTCAGATCCTCTGCGGCCACCCCAAGCCTCAACTCCGCCAACTGGCGGCCGTCGAGGCTAGGAAGCTGGTGACGAAGCACTGGGCCAACCTGCCTGCGGACCAGAAGAACTCTCTTCGCAACCAGCTGTTCCAGTTCACACTAAACGAGGACGTGACTCTCACACGGCACTCTGCTGCCCGCGTCATCTCGGCTATCGCGTCGCAAGACTTCGAAGATGGCGAGTGGGCTGACCTACCCGGCTACCTCCAGCAGGCTGCCACCAGCAACGAGGCGCGCCACCGTGAAGTCGGTACCTACATCATCTTCACCACACTTGAGTCAGCGGGCGACTCGTTCCCCGGCAAGCAAGCCGATCTGTACAAGCTGTTCAGCTCCACCATCCAAGACCCCCAGAGCGTTGAAGTCAGGATCAACACCATGCTTGGTCTCAGCCGCTTAGCTATGTTGCTTGAGCCTGACGAGAGCCCCAAGGAGCTTGCTCTGTTCCAGGAGTCTATCCCTGGCATGGTCAACGTTCTGAAGACTACTGTCGATGAGGGTGACGAGGACCGCGCCATGCAAGCTTTCGAGGTCTTCCAGACTCTTCTTGGCTGCGAGTCCGCGCTTCTCGCAAAGCACTTTGGCGATCTCGTCCGCTTCATGCTCGAGCTTGCGTCAAGCACCAACGTCGAAGACGACTACCGTTCCCAGGCGCTCGCATTCCTCATGCAATGCGTTCGCTACAGGAAGCTCAAGGTGCAGGGTCTGAGGATTGGTGAGGAGATGACCTTGAAGGCTCTCCACATCGTCACCGAGCTCGGTGACCTCTCCAGCGAGGAGGAGGATGTCACTCCTGCCCGTTCCGCTCTTGGACTTCTCGACATCCTTGCCTCAAGCCTACCTCCCAGCCAAGTTGTCATTCCTCTTCTCAAGAACCTTGGCAACTACTTCCAGTCCCAGAACCCCGACTACCGTCAAGCCGGTATTCTGGCTCTTGGCATGTGTGTCGAGGGCGCGCCTGACTTCATTGCTACCCAGCTCAACGAGATCATGCCCATGGTCCTGCACTTGTTGGAGGACCCTGAGCTCAAGGTCCGAGCTGCCGCTCTCAACGGTGTCGCTCGCTTGGCTGATGACCTGGCCGAGGACGTTGGCAAGGAGCACGCTCGCCTGATCCCCGCCATGATCAAGAACTTCGACCTCGCCGCCAACAACATGCAGGGTTCGGATGACGAGCGCAACCTTTCTATTGTCCGTGGTAGCTGCCATGCCATCGATTCTCTCATCGAGGGTCTCGAGCCAGAGGACGCTGGCAAGTACGTGCCTGAACTCATCCCACGCTTCAGCAAGCTCTTCCACCACGAAGACCTCAAGGTGAAGAGCGCAGCTATCGGTGCCGTTGGCTCCATCGCCTCTGCCGCTGAGACGGCCTTCATCCCCTTCTTCGCCCAGACCATGCAAGAGCTTTCGCCATACGTAAGGATCAAGGACAGCCAAGACGAGCTCGATCTCCGCGGTGTCACTTGCGATTCCATGGCCAAGATCGCGTCCGCTGTCGGCCCTGAGCCTTTCGAGCCATACGTTATGCCGCTAATGGAGGCTTCCGAGGAAGCTCTGCACTTGGACCACCCCCGTCTCAGGGAGACCAGCTACATCCTCTGGAGTGTCCTGGCCAAGGTCTACGAGGAGGGTTTCGCTAAGTACCTTGCCGGCATCGTCAAGGGACTCAACGACTGCCTTGAGCAGGAGGAGACCAACCTTGATCTCGAGTTCGGTGAGGAGGCAGCAGACCTGGCCGGCCAAGAAGTTACCATCCAGGGCCAAAAGATCAAGGTTGCAGCTGCTAGCGATGACGACGACGATGACAGCGATCTGAACGAAGCTCTCATGGCCGGCGATGACGACGATGATTGGGATGACCTCGAGGGCGTCAGCGCTGTTGCCATGGAGAAGGAGATCGCGGCTGAAGTCTTCGGAGACATCATCACGCACACCCGCCGTGAATTCATCCCTTACATGGAGTCGACTGTCACCAAGCTGCTCGAACTTGTCGACCACTCCTACGAGGGTATCCGCAAGGCTGCTATCAGTACGCTCTGGCGCACCTTTGCCTGCCTCTTCGGCATGGCCGAGGGCGATGGTATGGGCAAGTGGCAGCCTGGTCTTCCTCTGAAGGTAGACATTCCCGATGAGCTGAAGAAGCTGGGCAACCTCGTCATGACTGCCACCATGACAATCTGGCAAGACGAGATGGACCGGTATGTACCCTCAACTTTCTTTCCTGACACACGTTGCAAAGATGACACAACTGTCGTTAATCCCAGCTCACTCCGATGCCAAAGTGCACTTGAGGTGAAAGCGAAATCACGACTGAGCAACTCTCAACACTACTACATATACATGATGTATAACTGAGAATCTGGCTAACGTTCTCCAGTGGCACTGTCACTGACATCAACCGTGATGTCGCGGCTACCCTCAAGGTCTGCGGACCGGCTATCTTGTTGACCGACAACGGCACCGTTGTACCTGATCTTTGCCAGCACCTGCTTGCCGTTATCACGAAGCGTCACCCTTGCCAGCAGGATCTCGGGGACGAGGCTGAGGAGGAGATCATGGATGAATCCTCTGAGTACGACTGGCTCGTGATTGAGACAGCCCTTGAGGCCGTCACCTGCCTCTCTGTCGCACTTGGCGAGCAGTTCGCTGAACTGTGGAAGATGTTTGAAAAGCCAATCGTCAAGTACGCCAGCAGCCAGGAATCTACTGAGCGCAGCGCTGCCGTTGGCGCCATTGCTGAGTGTGTCGGCAACATGGGTGCCGCCTGCACTCCCTACACCACTAGCATGTTGAAGCTCTTCCTCCACCGCCTCTCAGATGAGGACCCAGAGACCAAGTCCAACGCTGTCTACGGTATTGGCCTCCTGTGCGAGAAGACGACGAATGACGACGAGATCCTCAAGTCATTGCCTACCATCTTCTCCAAGCTCGAGCCTCTGCTCGATGCTCAGGACCAAGCACGTCTTCTTGACAACACGGCTGGATGCGTCAGCCGGTTCATCGCGAAACACCCCAGCAAGCTTCCCATTGCCGAGGTACTGCCCCGCTTGGTGCAGCTCCTGCCTCTGCGCGAGGACTACGAGGAGAACAAGCCTGTGTTCGGCATGATTGTCAAGCTCTACCAACTCAACGAGCCCACGGTGCAGCAGCTCACGTCTACGCTGATGCCCGTGTTCGAGAAGGTTCTCGGCCCGCCTGAGGACCAGCTCGAGGACGAGACGCGCTCGCAGCTTGTTGAGCTGGTGCAGCATCTGCGCAAGTAGGAAGGTTTCGTTTTGCTAAAAGAGAGGGATACCCGTCGAAAGACACACGTGATGGATTTAGGCATGGGATGGTGGGATGGGATATAGATACGGATTTACGATACCATGCAATGAATGAATGTTCAATATAGAGACTGCACTGAACTTGAACGTATTGAAAAGTGACAATCTTGTGTTGGGTGGCTGAGACGCGTGACAAGGGGCCCATGCTTCCTGTTCCTGGGCCGGCGCGCGCCATTTATCCAAGCTGGAGCAGTGACGTCTGCACCCCAGACACTTGCGGCTGCCTGTGCGCCCACGCCTCACAACAACACCTACACTCTCTACGGCGAGCTGTTCCCATATAACGCCATTCGATCCCACGCGCATTCCTTCACTCACTTCATGACAGCGCGCGAGTGCTAGACGCTCCTGGATCGCGTTCGCCTCGTACATAGCTTCCGACAGCTTCGCCCGCCACCTCGGCTCGAACGTGTAGTCTTCACCACCCACCGTCCACCATCGCCCTTACATCGTCCGTTCCTTCGCACTCTTCCATATCCAGTCGCATATAGCTCTTCTCACGATATCGCATCGCGACCGGCCCCAGCGCCCAGGCGCATCGCATAAGATGGTGCAGCCAAGCACGCGAGGATGGAAGGCCATGACGTTTGGCCTGCTCTCCATCCTCACCGGATCAGCTCTCGCAGGGCCAGACCTGACGTCCAAACACGAGAAGGGAAGGTGCGCGATCCGCGGACAATGCGGGAAGCAGAGCTTCTTCGGGTCAGAGCTGCCCTGCCCTGACAACGGCCCGGCCAAGACGCCGGACAGCGATGTGCGGAAGAAGCTGGTCGACATATGCGGCAGTCAGTGGTCAGACACGGACATTTGCTGCGACGAAGACCAACTCGACGCCCTCAAGACGAACCTCGACCGCGCCACGCCCATCATCAACGCCTGCCCTGCCTGCAAGGAGAACTTCTACAACCTCTTCTGCACATTCACCTGCTCTCCCGACCAATCCACCTTCATCAACGTCACGCGAACCGAGCCCAAAGGAGACAAGTACCTGGTCACCGAACTAGACAACCTGGTATCTGACAAGTACGCGTCAACCTTCTACGACAGCTGTAAGGATGTCAAATTCGGTGCGACGAACGGCAAGGCTATGGACTTTATTGGAGGTGGCGCAAAGAACTATACACAATTCCTCAAGTTCCTGGGCGACAAGAAGTTTTTGGGTTCGCCCTTCCAGATCAACTTTCCTCGGCCCAGCGAAGACGAGTTCCCTGGAATGGATGCCATGAACAAGCACGCCTACCCATGCGACACTGACGACGAGAAGTATCGTTGCGCCTGCCTCGACTGCGGTGGATCATGCACTGAACTGCCAGAAGTGCAAGAGGAGAAGCAATGCCACGTTGGTCTGCTGCCCTGTTTATCCTTCGCCGTCATCGTCATCTACTCGTTCTTCCTCGGCTTGCTCTGTACTGCTGTCGCAGGACACGTCGCTTACAAGAATCACTCGAAACACAAGACCGAGCGTATGCGTCTGTTGCAGGACACGAGCCCTAGCGACGATGAGGACGAGGGCGATATCGTACACAACGTTGGCATGCTGGATCGCCCCACTAAGCACTACTTCATCAACACGTGGTGCGATCGCATGTTCAGCCGTCTTGGTTACATCTGCGCTCGCTTTCCTGCCATTACCATCGTCACCAGCGTCATTGTAGTTGGCCTGATGAGCTTGGGATGGTTACGCTTCCAGATCGAGACCGACCCTGTCAATCTATGGGTCTCTCCTGATTCCGCTGCCGCGCAAGAGAAGACCTTCTTCGATGAGAAATTCGGCCCCTTCTTCCGTGCTGAACAGGCTTTCCTTGTCAACGATACCCACGGACAAGCCGGACCCGTTCTCAGTTACGAGACTTTGGATTGGTGGTTTGGCGTTGAGAACCAGATCCAGCGTCTTAAGTCTTACGAGCACGGCGTCACTCTCGACAAGGTCTGCTTCAAGCCAGTAGGCGACGACTGTGTTGTTCAGTCTGTGACTGGATACTTCCAAGGCGACTTTGCCAATGTTTCTCCCGACAGCTGGCAAGACGACCTACTGCAATGTGTCGACAACCCTTCTCAGTGCTTGCCAACCTTCCAGCAGCCGCTCGACCCTCATCTTCTTTTTGGCGGCGTCAACGAGACCGTTCTGGACGCCAAAGCGCTCGTCGTTACATGGGTTGTGCAGAATTTCCCCAAGGGCACCCCAGAAGAACAGCGCGCCATGGACTTTGAGAACGAGATGAAGAACTACCTCAAGTTCGTATCTGATGAAGCTCACAAGAGAGGTCTCCGACTGAGTTTCAACACTGAGGTCAGTCTTGAGCAGGAATTGAGTAAGAGCACCAACACGGATGCCAAGATCGTGGTCATCAGCTACATCATCATGTTCCTGTACGCATCCCTGGCTCTGGGCTCTACCACGCTCACCGTAAAGTCCGTTCTTCGCAACCCCGCGAACGCGTTTGTGCAGTCCAAGTTCATGCTTGGTACTGTCGGTATCTTGATTGTCCTCATGTCTGTGTCTGCATCGGTCGGATTGTTCTCGGCAGCCGGTATCAAAGTCACCTTGATCATCGCAGAGGTCATTCCGTTCCTTGTTCTGGCTGTTGGTGTTGACAACATCTTCCTCATCGTCCACGAGTTTGAGCGCATCAACATCAGCCACCCCGAAGGCAGCATACCAGAACGTGTATCACGTGCACTTGGACGCATGGGCCCTTCTATTCTACTCTCTGCGCTCACAGAGACCACCGCATTCGCTCTTGGGTGTGCCGTAGGGATGCCTGCAGTACGAAACTTCGCCGCGTACGCTGCAGGCGCTGTCTTCATCAACGCTATCCTCCAAGTCACCATGTTCATTGCTGTTTTAGCTCTGAATCAGCAACGTGTGGAAAACAACCGAGCTGACTGCTTCCCGTGTGTTCGTGTTGGTCGTGCTGATCCTGGCTATCTCAACGGTGGCATGGGATACGGCGCTGGCGAGGAAGGCGCACTTCAGCGATTCATCCGCAAGACCTATGCTCCGGCGATATTGGGAAAGAAGACGAAGGTCGGCATCATTGCGCTATTCTTTGGAATCTTCACGGCTGGTCTCGCCCTCTTCCCAAGTGTGGAGCTAGGCCTTGATCAACGCATTGCTATCCCCAGCGATTCTTATCTCATTCCTTACTTCAACGATCTTTACGACTACCTAGATGTCGGCCCGCCAGTCTACTTTGTCACCAAGGAGCTGAACGTTACCGAACGGAAGCCTCAAAAGGAGCTTTGTGGACGCTTCTCCACCTGCGACCGAGAGAGCTTGGCCAACATCATCGAAGCGGAGCGGAAGCGACCTGAGGTCTCTCATCTCGCAGCTTCAGCCGCTAACTGGCTTGATGACTTCTTCCTATGGCTCAACCCCGAGAACGAGAAGTGCTGCGTCGACGACAAAGGCAAGCCGTGTTTCCAGGGCCGTCAACCACCTTGGAACATGACTTTGTCGGGCATGCCCGAAGGCGAGGAGTTCATCCACTATCTTCAACTCTGGATCGACGCACCGACTACAGAAGACTGCCCGCTAGGAGGAAAGGCTGCTTACTCTGACGCTCTAGTCATCGACTCGAAGCACCTCACCATCCCCGCATCGCACTTCCGCACTTCGCACACGCCTCTCCGCTCGCAGAGCGACTTCATCTCTGCCTACACGGCCGCACGTCGCATTTCGAAAGAGATCTCCAAGGACGTCGACACGGAAGTCTTCCCCTACTCCAAGTTTTACATCTTCTTCGACCAATACACGACCATCGTCCGTCTAGCCGGCGCCCTCATCGGCTCCGCCCTCGCCGCCGTCCTCGTCATCACCACCATCATGCTCGGCTCCCTAGCCACCGGTCTCGTCGTCACCCTCGTAGTCGGCATGACAGTCTCTGCCATCATCGGCTCCATGGCTGTCCTCGGCGTATCCCTCAACGCCGTTTCGCTCGTCAACCTCATCATCTGCGTCGGTATCAGCGTCGAGTTCACCGCACACATTGCCCGTGCATTCACCTTCCCCAGCCGCGCCACCATGGAAAAGGCCCCGCGACACCGCTTCCGCGGCCGTGACGCCCGCGCTTGGACTGCCATGGTCAACGTCGCAAGCAGCGTCATCAGCGGCATTACCATCACCAAGATCCTCGGCGTGGGTGTCTTGGCTTTCACGAGGAGTAAGGTATGTCATCAAGATCCCCGCTTTCCCTTCCGTTCCCCCTTACTAACAACTCCTCAGATCTTCGAGATATACTACTTCCGCGTCTGGGTCGCCCTCGTTCTTTGGGCTTCAACACACGCTCTTATTCTCCTCCCGGTCCTTCTGTCGCTTGTAGGTGGGGGCGGCTACGTCGACCCGGAGAGTGATGGCGGGCTTGAACAAGATCTTAGAAGACGCCAGTACCCTGCGCTGCTCGCTGAGGACGACGAGTATGATAGCGATGACTAGGAGAATCATGGTTTCTTGGGGAAGCATTGGTGTAGTATGTTTTAAAGATGTGGGTTTGGGATAATTGAGGTTTGGAATGCATGGATGGCGTTTTTTTTGTCTGGATTTAGCTTTGCCCGATGAGGGTGGCGGGGGAATGAAGGAGAGGGACGGCGATTGAGAGAGAGGGAGGGGTGATGGATGTAGTTGTCTCTCCGTCTTTCCGGCTCCTGAATGTAGGCTGGTATGATTACGCTATGGGATTAATTTGATCGTATATTGTGCAAATTTAAGACATCCATGTTGAGTTCAATGGGATGTCAACCTGTCCTTTGTAGTTGCCTACACCACCCCACCCCACCGCTAATGAGAGCTTGACTGCTTGTTAAAGCATACGTGTTCTAGCTACTACTACAGTGTCCGTCCCGATAGTGGATCTCCCTATTTCATACCTTTTGTTAAAAGTATTGCTATTAGATACTCCGAGGTAGACAGGCTAGGTTTTCGGGGATTGAAAGTTTACCGCGGGATATATACCAGAGTCTAGTAGCTACGTCATGCGATTTCAAACAGAATGTAAGGTCAACGCTACACCGTCACCGTCTGGCTTACATCTTCTTTAGGTCCAGAGAGAGGATGTTTAGATAAACAGAGTAGTAGCTAATAAGAACAAGATGTTAGTTCTAGTCCGCATTGCTAGATGTCCTAGACCCTAGCGAATACACATGCTATTTTAATCTTGAACACAAGGTAAACGCTACAACCTCGCCGTCGGTCTAGCTTCTATCTCATTTACGTACATGTACATGCCTAGCTATACCTCTAGTTTCCCTTAAAGCCGGACAGATACATATCTGATGCCACCTTCACGTGCACGCGTAACACGACGATGTTACTGCCTGGCTTATGTACGGACTGGTGCGGTGGACTTTAGCGTGGCGTGTACGTTGTATGATTTTGCGAGGTTCATGCACGAAACGCGGCAAGGTCGCAGTCTGACGAGTGTGTGTGTGTGTGTGTATATTTGGGGAGTTGTGGCGTGGCGGATACGTTGGATGGTTTTATACGGTATATGCATGAAATACTACAATGTTGCTATGTAGCTTATGTATGGATATATTGAGTAAGGTATACTATTGCGGATACTTTGTATGATTCCACGTCGTATGAAGACTGAATACTGCAACGTCGTCGTCGTTTGGCCATGTGTGCATGTATCTGGTAAGGTATACCGCGGCGGATACATCTACATCAAACCCTCCACATTCATAGCAAACGCGACAACGTCGCCGCCTAGCTCCCATCCTATCCACATATTCAAACTACACCCCAATGGCTACATGCACATCAACCTCTTCACATCTACATCAAACACAGCAACGTAGCCGGCAGACTGATATATCATTCACTACTAAACCCCCATATTCCATCACTGCATAGGGCAGAACCCCAAGCAAGTGGTAACGAGAGCTTCCGAACAGCTACACACAGTGTCCACATCACATAGATAACAACAGCCGTTAGGGTCGCAGCCTACATACCATCTCTTCTTGTTCGGATCACGTGCACGCGCCGGTACGTTCGGAACCGCCAGATTAGCCGGGCGCTGGGACGACAATGGTGGTAAACTCGTGATTTGGTGCGCCGCAGGAACGGGCTGTGCTGTGCGATTCGAAGGAGTTGGTGGTGCTGTTGGCGCTAGCGAAGGTGAAGGTGAAGGTACTTCCTCAGTCTCCCTTAACTCTTGACTCCCAGAACGCCTCAAACTTTCTGCATACAGACGACTACCGTCCTCGTTCATGAGCTCGGTGAACCTCGAATCACCAGACTTGCGGCCTTCAGTGCGATCTGGGGGCGCGCGTGATGAGGCTGAGGACTCATGTAGGCTCCTGGGTCTCTCATTCGGATCGAGAAGTGTATGGGATGAGCCATTGTGGGCGCCTAGCTGATCTTCTGAGTCAGCTCCACCACGCATGAATATCATGTCGTCTCGAGAGGGCTCTGTTTGGACGTAGTGAGAGTATTGAGGAGCGATGCCTCTGTGGCTGAAATACGCTCGTGCAGTTTCTGATGCTGGCAGGCGACCTGGTGTGACTATCCATGCGCGACTTTGACCGTCTCGGGTTCTCGCTATGGTAGACAGCGTAGGGTTTCGTGGGGGAAGGCCATCTCCAAAGTGAAGGTCGTCGGACTCGCTCTCGGAACCGCTGCAGATGTCATAATCGATTGAGCCTGACTGGCTCATCGGGCCTTCGACTTCAACAACTTCAGCATATCTCCGTTGGTCCCTCAATACCACAGCCGACGCTGAAGATAGAAGGCGAAGCTGTTGCAGTGTTGATCTGAGTCGTGAAACCACGGGGGGAACAACTGGAGCCGCAGGCGAATGTTCAACGAGCGTTGTTTGACCACTGTTCAATTGCGATGGGCTAACATATGCTCCTTGCGGGTGCGATGGGTTCACACATGCTCCCGGTGTATGCGGGGTGGCTGACGACGAGAGAGCTTCGACGACAGTTGCTGGACCACTTGCGACTTGCGATGAATTGTCTAAGGATGCTACGAAGTGTGGGGTTGGCGCGAAGCCAGGCGGAGACGTTGCTGCACGTGTTGCTGACAGCTAATCAGTAATCGAGCTGGGAGGCGACATCGAGCTGAGAGGCGACGGGCGATATGCGGTATTGTAGGCGTTGTTATACTGCACATCCTTCCAGTCTGGCAGAGCCGCAAATTCTGCGTCAGACATGAAGGCGGGATGCGAGCCTGTCCGCTTGTGAGTGAGTTGGACCGGACGCTTCAGCCACAGGCTTTCGACATGCTGTCTCCGATGGCGCTCCTGTAATCGAGTCACCCAGCTTTGCGCTTCTTCCTGCTCTTCCTCTTCTTGCTCTTCCTACGAGCCGACCTCGTCAGCCCAGCTGCGTCCCTTCTCCATGGGCGATGGCAGGCCGAAATCGTCTGTGTCCTTCACCTTCTCCTTCACTTTCTCCTCTGCAGGTGCCTTGCCCTTGGCAGAGGGTAGTTCTGGGAAGTCTGACGCCGAGGGCGGGACGTTGTCGCGCTTTTCCCGAGTGTTTGCCGGCCTCTCGTCGGATCCTCGGTAGTCGCCACGGCCACCTCTGCTGCCACGGCCTCTGCCTCTGCCTCTTCCGCGGCTAGACTGTCCGGCAGGCTCATGATAATCTTCGCTTCCGTTGTAACCGTTGTCGACCGGTCTCGAGGGTGCGATGCCACCGTGCGCGCCACGTGCAGCGCCTCGTCGCTTCTCGTCTCCAGTGCCAGAGAAGCCATCTTCTTTCTCAAAGTCCCACTCCCTGCCCCCTTGCGCATTGAGCTTGCGCTGGCGGTTCTTCTCGCGTTCGCCCATCATCTGTTGGCGACTCTGGCGCTCTGCCTTCTGCTTCTCTGCGAGAGCCTTCTTTCGCTCTATATCCTGCTTCTGCATGACGGCTTCGCGTGCCTCGAAATTGCCCTTGTCGGCCTCGGCGCGAGCATGGGCGCTCTGACGGGCTTCGTTCTTAATGCGCATGTTGGCCAGCTTCGTGTTCAGCTCCTCTTCTGTGAGGCGCGTGCGTGCAGGGCCGCCTGTGAGGCCTCGGTCTCCGCGCACGGCATGTGTGGTCTTCTCCTTGGGTTCGGTGGGTGCAGAAGGCGGGGCTGAGTTGTCTGCGACATCGGTAGGGGCAGTCGCGGTCGGCGCAGCTTCCTTCGGAGCCTCAGGGGCCTTCTTGCCGTTTTCTTCCAGTCGAATGTCGGTGTTGTGCCCGCCGCGGCCCCGTCCACGGCCCCTTCCTCGACCACGGCCGCGACCTCCTCTTTCGGCGTTCCTTGGCTCACGAGGCGCATGGGGTGCGAGGTGCGCCTGCGGTGCGGTCGGCGGTTGTACTTCCTCGGGAACGAACTCGGGGGCGGAAGCTTGCAGCTCGATGGGGTTCTGCTCGACGACTGGCTCGGCGATAGGCGTGATGTCGTCGTCGAAGAAAAGGTCGTCTGTGCTTGCGGTCTGAGCGAATGGATCTATTGACGGGTCGTCGAAAGCGGGGTCGTAGGACGTGTTGTCGATCTGGCGGGGGTTAGTCTTGTATATGAAGCAGATGCCTACTCCAGCAGTAGGAGAGAGGTCAGGGGTAACGAGTGTATAAGTTGACATACCTGTGCTGGCGCTGGTTCGGGTTGAGCGACGGTGACCTCGGGCGCTCCTGATTGCTCCGCCTCGTCAGGCTGGGTTGCCCATTTTGACTTGAGCATGTTGATAATAGCGAGTAGTGCTAGAAATAGTATCTAGAACGAAGTATTGGATTAGAGCGATATGGAAGTTAGCGATGTGAGGAGTCTTTGGTCGTTGCGGCTGGCCGAATTACTTGCAGGAACCCTGGCACCCAAGTCCGTGCGGCAACACCTCCCCGCACCTGCAGTCTAGACCCGATGGGTCCTTCCAGACCCCACGTCCATGGATGGATGGTTCAGTGGCAGCTACTCCGAAGCGTCCTCGCTGCTTCTTACATGATCCTCTGTGCACGCAAATTAAAAGCAATGACCCCTCGAAACCCCTGTGTACAGCTCATACACGGCAGAATTGAACAGGTGCCTTGCAACCTACAACAAGCCCATGAACAACAACTTGCTAGATACCAAGGCAATGTAGACGTCAGGCATTAATATTATACTGATCTTTCTACCGATTAATGAGACCACAACATGAAAATACTCAGCTCCGTGACACATCCCCCCAGCCCATGAACGCCGTCGCTAAGTCGTAGAGATGATATACAAGGCCATCCAGCCAGTAAAGTTACAAACGCAATAAAAGATAACAAAACTCCGCACAACAGCTACTCTGGTTCTCCGCACGAACCAGGAAGCACATCAGAAACCCGAACAACAGAAGCAACATACGGGTACACCGGAACACCAGACCCATGCGTATACCCATCTTGCCCATCCCCCCAAGGCAAGCTCTCCTGCGCAGGCCAAACCTGTCCTCCTTCAGACTCAGACTTTGAACAAAACGTCAGAGCCACGACTCCCTTCCCAGGCTCAAGTGGCGACGACTCCCGGCTCTGCTGCCGCGAAGAACCCGGTGAGAGTTCCGGTGGATCCGTTGGCTGGTCTTCAAGCCAGCCGAGTACCTTTTGGCTCACGGTTTCCATGAGCGGGTTGCCGACGTTGTCGAAATCCTGGCCGTTGAAGGTGTACTTGACGATACCGGGGTCTGCGAACGAGGGGGCGTGGGAAGGGCGTTTTGGAGCGGCGAGACGCATTTCAGCCTCGACGGACTCCAGGGTGCGAGATGGAAGTGGCTGCTTTGTTGATACGGCACCGGGGGTGGGGGACTTGTAACCCGTGGAGATGGGAGCGCTGATTTTGGAGATGCCTTGGGCTTTGACCTTTGCGAACATTACGTCGAGAGCTGATGAATGCGTCAAATCAGCTTCAGTCAGCCCAGTCTTGATCGGCGTGATCTCAAAGCCATTGTCGTCGAGACACTTGCGAACTGGCTTGCCAATCAAGGCCAACGCCCACTCCAAGTCATGCGCCGGCTCCTCCCGATGGAACTCGGCGTCAACAGAAACCCTGTACTTGCAACGAATCAGCCTCTGGCGCGGCGTCTCCATATTTTCGTACAGCGCGGCTTCGAGAGCCTTGTTAAGGGCGACAACGCCGTACGCCTTTTCAAACGCTTTCGCGTTTTCGGTAGGCCATCCCGGGGCGAGGTCTTCCTTTGTGAGGGTGATTTTGGCGGGTGGGGTTTGGGCGACTACGATCTTTCCGAAGAGGAATGCTGGGGCGGTTGGGTTGAGCATGCTGGTTTGTGTGGTGTTGGGTTTTGGAGGAGAGGTGTGTTTTGGAGGAGAAGGAGCGGTCTTGGGATAAGATATAGTATTGGGCTCTTGCTCGAATTTGGTTTGGCTTCTGGCTACCTTGGTTGGAGGGTTGTTCTTGGAGCCAGTAGGGACGTCTTCGAATACAACCACGGGCAAATGTGTGCAGAGGTACGGTTGCGGCGTAGCGGTCTTGGTACCGGTGGTGGTCTGAGTTCCAGTAAGAGTCCCGGCGTTGTTGACGGCCTTCTCTTGACTGGTCGACTCGTCTCGAGAAAGATCAGATAAATCCACGAAAATCTGCGCAGATTCCCTTACCATGGACGCCGGTACTGCATTTCCAATAACGTCTTCTCTTACAGGTGCAGCCTTGTTGATAACGATGGTAGCGACCTGCGGATACGAAGCCTTGTTCGCGGTAATCTTCTCGGCGGCGGCGGTGCGCTTCGCAAGCGCCTTCCCTTTCTGCGCCTTCTTGTGGTCCTTCAGGCCCTTGTTCTTCTTGTATGTAACGTCGCCGGTAGCGTCCTTGGTGGGAGCCATATTTGCGGTTCGCAGTGAGAGTGCGACTAAGTGCTGTCAGGGGTGCTTCACATCACCGGCGCAAGTTCTGACTTACATATATTAATGACAGTAGTATAAGCGAGACTATAGCAGAGTGCTCAAGACCAGAGCGAGAACTTCGGTTCAAGAAGAGCGGATACGCGCAGTAAAGCCGTTGAGTATACAAGGGAGTAGAGCGAATGTGGCGAGCCTTGACCAGTGCTTTCGGGCTGCGGGCGACGGTGTTGCGCGGGTAAGATAACCTGGGGTGGAGCGCAAGCGGGTTGAGCGTACGCGGGCCGCGGTAAGGTATCGACTACTACGAGTGTCGCGCGCTGTATTAGACACTAGTACCGTGAGAGTGGAAGTGATGTAATATTGTGAACAATGGCGTCCGTGCGTTGAGACAAAGTAAGAGTGAAAGGAATGACAGTGTGACTGAACATGCATTGTTTGACAATCACATTGTTCAGGTCGTCTCGGTCATCACGCGGAGTTGGCAAAGGTTAGAAGCGTGGAAGGAGAAACATGATATCATGTGACAGATGTGGTATAAGGTATTTGTAGAATGGCTAGAGCGCTGCAAGAATTCGTGCACCGGTCCAATTCAACAAGGATCCTTGGAGTCAAAACGACTTTAACAACACGTCCTACTGGCTCGACCTTGGCAAAGATCTTGCATTCAAATTCTGAACTTTCGTAGAACGTTTGGCGCTACTTCGTTACATTGCTATATAGAAGCCGCAGTCCATGCGCCGAGCGAGTCCGGTGGGTTGAATTACCTTGCACCGCTCCTGGTAAGCAGGTATCTTGAAGATAAGAGCACATGAGCTAGCTAGGTTCGCCTCGAAGGAGAGTGACGGATGTAACCGCTGCTGATTGATAGGAATCTGCGCCCTCGTGGAAAAGGACGGATGATACCAACCTCTGCTATTGAGTGAAGACGTGAGGAAGAGCGGATATGAATGCATCGAGATTACCTGATGTAGTATGACGCAGATGATTTCATAATAAGGTAGCCCAAACCAAGACATCGCGCGGATACAGGAGCGATCTCTACATAGGTGTTGTGAAATTTCCTGCGGTACGGGAGTGGCGCGGAACGTGATGCAGATGGGACATGATCGCCAGCGCTGAGCCGTGTCAGAGCATGAAGATGAAACGGCAAGCAGTCACAACGAAGAGAGGTGGACGTGCGCGAAATGTAGACCGCGATGTGTGTGGGTGCGCGTTGAAGTGTTGTTATGATGCGTGCTTGCCCAGGTGGAGAACCGCGCATAACGCGATCGTGCACGGTGCCGGTACTAGCCTCTTGGCAGTGCTCCAAAGACACCTCGCAGCGGCAGGTACACAGACTCTATCTTTCCTACTTCCCACATCCGCGTCTGCATCTGTCAGCCTTCACACCGCCACTGTCGAACATTCTATTGCGACATTGAACGGCATCATGGATAAGTTACCACAGGAGCTCATCAACAAAATTGTCTTGTGTCTAGAGCGCTATCCCGGTCAGTCACAGGCCCCGATAATTGAACAGCAGGGGGACCAGTCTAAGCTCCCACCATATGCGACAATTTCTAGCCGCTGGAGAGAGGCTGTGGAATACGTCACTTTCCATCGTTTGTCTATCAAGAGCCATGAGCTGAGTCAGCTCGAGGCCATGGTGACTGGCAATCGTCCCCAATACCTAAAGAGACTCTCTTTCGAGATTACACTACCAGAGTACTCAGAAGAGAGCTGTGGACGTGTTGAGTCGATAGAAGAACAACAATGCAATGACGAAGCCTTCACCCAAGCCATCGCAGACTTGTTTTCCTTAGTGAGAAAGTGGGAAGATGCAGATCTAGTACGTGGTTTACGACTACAGCTACACGGCGCATATTCCCCGACCGATCATCGTGACTGGAACCAGATCACGCTTGAAATGGCACAACACAAGCGTGGGATAGACATTTTCGAAAAACGATGGGTAAACTCCTACATCCATCTCTCCAGACCGGAAAGAATACCCACGCTCTTGAGCATCGTATATCTCCGCATTACGGGCCACATTTCCCGAAAGCTGGCCCCTGTAGTCGGACCTGGTCTAGCTGCATGTCTACCCAACCTACGGAGTTTCTACTGGGAGTTTGGAGAGGTAGACGACACGTCCATCAACGTGGAAAGCAGAGCCTTATTCGCGAGGATGCTCAACCAGACTAAGCTTGACAAATGCTCTGCGGCTGAGATTACCTTCAATCAAGACCCTGCGGCGGACCAACGCGTGGCAGAACCTTCGCGCATACCAATAGGCGCACTCTACGATCCGTTCAGCGTATCTCTGCGTAGCTTTTCGCAGAACCTGACTTCCCTTGTTCTGAACGGCTTTGTCGACTCGACTATTTTCTGGCCTTCAAGCCTTGAGAAAAGCTCTGTGCTCAGCTGGCCGGCCCTCAGGAAGCTGACAATCTTCTTCAACATGGCCGCCCCGTCTGGGGAGTGGTACTTTGACGGAACACCACCAGGTGAGATTGAGGAGCAGTGGGGCGGCAGTATCGTGCAGTTCCGCGACCGTGAGAACGCAAAGGCCTTAGATCCGTTGATCGCGGCTTTCGCAAAGGCCGTCCAACAGATGCCGGCCCTAGAACATTTTCTGCTCGAAACGGAGCTTGGCCACGACATAGGCTACTGGGAGATATCGTACTATGCGCCTGGAATTGAAGAAGATGGGCACGATAATGAAGATGACGCTAACGTGCGGCGACTCTACTATTCTGTCGGGGAAGTATGGAGGCCAGATGACTTCATGGCAGAAGCTTTTCGACGCATCGGGCGGGATAGGCATGGGCCGGAGCTGATTGAAAGGTTCTATGAGCTGGGAAGCAGGACTTGGCCGCTTGATTCTCCATGGAGCTGGTTATGACCTACGCAGTCAACCTATCTGCGCTTTTGCAAATGGCTAAGCAATCTCGGCACCACTTGCCTGATCATTATTCGATAGCGACTACCTAGGTACCTACAGTAGCACTCTCGGTAGCTAAAACGGTACGTGCGGCGACAGGCCTTTCCGACGCTAAACTTCATTGCGACAGTGACGCGCTTACTAAGCATACTTATCACTTTCCCTTCCCTGCATCTCATTCGTCTTGTCAACCCACCCCGCTATATCGACCTTGCAAAATGCCGGATATAACAGCCAACGATGGTATCCATCTTCACTACGAGACATATGGCTCTACCGGTGCCGCTCCCTTGATCTTGGTGAGCTCCCCGCCATCGAGCGCGTACCGCAACCAAGCCTGACATCGGTCGCTAGCTGCATGGCTTCACGGGTTCGGGCGCAGTCTTCAAGCGCAACGTTGCCGCACTCGCAAAAGCTCACCATGTCATCATTCCCGATCTGCGCGGCCACGGCGACTCCGGTAAACCAAGAGCCGGTTACAACGTCGCGCGCCTAGCAATGGATCTCAAGAACTTGATCGAGTTCTTCGGTTTCCGCGACGGTACCATCAAAGCCATAGGAACGAGCCTAGGTGCTGCTATCCTATGGAGCTACAGCGAATTGTTCACGACTGGCGCATTCTCGCACATGGTTTTCGTGGACCAAGCGCCACTGCAGAACTATCTCGAGGATTGGGGTCCTGAGTTCGGCAATCTGGGATGCAACAATGTAGAAGCACTGAACGCGATGCAAAAGACACTGATTGCGAACCCGAAGGCGGCGCACCTTGGTACCATCGCAGCGTGCTTGGGCTACAGATCTCATCCGCGACCCCGCGACCCTCCGTCAGATTCGGCACAGTGGGAAGATGACGAAGCGTTCTTCCTGGCCGAGGCTCTGAAAGGCGATGGGTGGTGGTATGGAAAGCTAATGGCTGACCATACGGCAAACGACTGGCGGCATCCTATCGCTCATGCTTTCGGACCAGAGAGCGGTAGTGAAACCAAGGTGCTGGTAGTAGCAAGTAGCCGAAGTGGATGTTTCCCCGCTGCGGGACCGCTCAAAGTGGTGGAGCTGGTGAATGGAGGCGAGAAGGAAGGACTCGCAAAGGGAGTGACGGTGGACTGGGGTGGTCATTGGTGTTATTGGGAGAAGCCGGAGATGTTCAATGCGCTTGTCATTGACTTTTTCTCGTGAGCGCAATATATGCCGTATTGACTTGATGTTCCTGCGACAGAGTAGCCCGTGTTGTTAGTCATCTCAACGTTCATACCTATAGGTCTTATTTCATAGCCAAAGGAACGAGAGGGGTAACGCTTCAGACAACGAATTCTTCCGCAGGCGCGTCAAACCCCGCAGAGCGCCGCTAATGAGTGGCATATGGGCAAAAAGCTGGCGAAAACGTACCACAGTAAAGATTTTCAAGCATTCATCCACAGAGCCACTTCTAAACCGCCGGCATCCTGCTTGTATATGGCTGAGCGGCCGTAAAAGACCACTATGTGGGGTTCCCCAGGCTAAAGATGCGGCTCCCGGAGGCTCTGGGGCTAGCGCATCTGAGGTGTGGCTCGTAGCGAGCAGGTCTGCCTCGAGACGAGCATGACTCGCCTCGATCCCCGCAACACTGTCACGTATATAGGTTCAGTTGGCTGCATCTTCACCGCATTATCATCGCTCATCTCTTCATTGTGCAAGCAAAATACCCTCAGCCTCTTCGTCGCGTTGCATAGCTCTCAATCCGAGATCGTGACCTCAAGAATCGAAGTCCTGATCACCGCAAACCTGATCAAAGAGATTTGGAGAGCAACCCACCAAAAATGTCGAACAACATCCTCATCACCGGCGGCGCCGGCTTCCTAGGCCCTATGCTCGCCGCGAAGTTGGCAAAAGACCCTTCAAACAACATCGTCCTAACCGACCTTCGCACACCCCAACGGCCAGCCGGCATCTCAGATTCGGCATCCAACCTAGAGCTCACAGCTGGAGACCTCACATCGCAATCAGACATCGACAAGCTCCTTTCCATGCGCCCCCAATGGTCAGCAATCTTCCTCTTCCACGGCATCATGTCAGTCGGCTGTGAAGAAAACCCCGCACTTTCCACCAAGGTCAACCTAGACGCCACGCTTTCTGTTCTCACATCCATCTCAAAACTACAACAAGCGACCAAACCCCGCATTGTTTACGCTTCGACCCAGGCTGTTTATGGACCGCCTTATACGGCGACAGGCCCAATTACAGACGATACGCCCGCGACGCCAATAGGCGTTTACGGCACCCACAAGGCCATCATGGAGAAGCACATCGATGATCTTAACCGCCGTGGTCTAATCGATGCCTTCTCCGTGCGCCTACCCACCGTTGTCGTCCGTCCAGGTGCGCCTTCGCGATCGGCAGCAGCGTTTCTAAGCGGCCTACTCCGCGAGCCACTAGCCGGACTCGAATGCATCGTCCCCATTAGCGACCGTTCAGCACGCCAGATGATCTGCTCGCCACGTGTCATGATCGAGAACTTTGTGCGCGTTATGAAGGCGCCGTCGGATGCCATGCCCTCGCACATCCGCGCGGTGTACATGCCAGGTATCAGTGTCACGCTTGGAGACATGTACGCGGCGTTCGAAGCGGTAGTTGGAAAGGAGAAGCTCAGTCTGTTGAGGGAGGAGGTGGATGAGGAAGCGAAGAGGTTGCTGGACAGTTGGCCGCAGACTGCGGAGTTTGGTAATGCGACAAGAATGGGGCTGTTGTTTGATGAGAGTTGCGAGCAGATATATAGGGAGTATGCTGATAGTCTTAAGGCATAGGCTTTGAAGTAAATGTTTATCACGAGTTTCAACATCCACATCCCAAATAATCATTGCATGTCGCAAGGATACTGACCGCTTACTCATGCAACAGTCTCAAAATATAGGTCCTCCTCAATCCTTTCCACGTCCAAATACCCCAACTTCTCCATGTCTACCTCCCACCTCTTCATCTTGTCTTTTAGCGTCCCAGCCAGCAAATCCTCTTTCTTTCCGTACTGCCACCGTCTAAAGCCCGAAGGCCCACCAACTCGAGCCTTATACGTACGATCAGCCTTTAGCCCTTCCATACTGCGAATATATTCTTTCTCATTGCCCATTTCCTCCAAAGTACATTCGAATCGCCACGGTCTGTTCGTTGAGATCTCGACAAAGTCACCATCGTCCGGGAATACCGGGTGGGGATCGTAATCGTAGCAGACGAAGACGGCACCCCATTCAACCTTCTCCCCAGTGACATTGTCCTGACAGTCAATCAGTTGGTCGATACAGTGCAGGTTTGCTCCGGTGCATAGTGTGGTGACTGAAAGTGGAGAGCGCGATTTATCGAACACCAGAGGCTCGACGCTATCGGTTGTGTATTCGATAACGAGGGTAAATGGGGTTGGACCGTTGAGATGAGCTTTTCTGGGCATCTCCAGCCTGGCGAAGAGTTTTGGAGGCGCTGGGTCGTCGAGGACGGTGAAGTAGTATGTGCCACCTCGCTCACGATGGACGGGCAGCTTCTTCTTTGGCGGAATTTCATCAGGCGGGTTATCGAGCTCATCAGTATAACATGCGAATACTTCGCCAGCGTTCTCAGCCAGCCGTAAACCGTATGTACGCCCAGGCTGTAAGGCCTCTTTCCACGCAACATGCGTTGTTTCAGTCGACACATCAATCGATACTTCCCGATACTGTGGGAATGCCGTAGGGAGTATGTTGTACTGGCCTTTCCGAAGTGACGTGAAAGATGGTAGCATGATAACACCTGCATCTTCCTTGCCAGATTGCACGAGTTCGAACAGTCCAGACCTTAATGCCTGTAGGACAGCGTTTCGCCCCCTTCCAACAACAGTGAGACCATTGCAAAATAGAGTTATCGGGCGCTCTGACTCTGGAGTTGTGACTATGAGGTGGCAAAGGCTACGACGTTGTTTGCGGTTCAACTGGAACTTGTCTTCGGCATCCTGCTCTTCGGCCTCAAATCGGAGGGATAGGCCGTTGATAGGTGTGGCTTTACTTGTCATGGTGAGCGCGCGCTTCGTGGTATGTGCAATGCAGGCCTGATCGATAATCGAGAGACAGATGTGTAATGCTCAAGAGAGTGATCATGTAGCTGACAACGACGCCGAAAGACTTCTGAATAAGAGAAAGCAACCGTGAATGTGTTGGCAATTGTCAAGGCTGTGCCGTGTCGAATTTCCGATAATGATGTGACGTCATGTCAAAGCTAGAACCAGGGAGGACAGCCCTTGCCAAATGACTAATACAGGTTCTCTCCGCCGCTTCAAAGCTTACACCAGTCAAGGATTGTTGCTTGGATACCGCTTCGAAGACAAACCAGATATGTCCTCATCTTTACTCGTCCCTTTGCTATTGCCACTATCGTGGCCACAACAAGGCTTAGTAAAGCGCGCGCACTCTTTCGATTTGATACAAGAATTATGCCCATGTCTACTCCAATAGTTCAATTGCCTCAACTGAACCGAAGGCGTTTAGGCCGTTCGTCTCTTCCGCCATCAGACGACTGTCCATGGCGGCGCTTCTCCACTTGCTGCGCCTTTCGCGAAGTCGCCCGGGATGTGACGTCTGAAGATCTTAACGTTACCGTCTTTGACGGCCCATCGTTACGCGGTCGGTGGTCGTAACGTGATTGTTCTTGGCTTTCCCGATGCTTGATCTCTCTCTGTAGCGCTCCATCGATAGGAGCAACAACATCGCTATGCTTCGAAAGTTCATTGCTTTTCATCCACGAAAGGATTTGATGAAATGTTCCAACTTGGGGTTCCGCCCCATACTGCAGAGAGATAAGGATCATGTCGCGAATGGCTCGGTAGTATTCCAAGTCGTCTGAGCCTTGCTGAATGCCAAGACTCATGGCGTCAAGAAGGCTTTCCCATACGGTGCGGGCGCTATCGGTGGCCATGTTTGGGTCTAAGCCATGTTCGAGAAAGATCCGGTATTGTACGATACAGATAGAGAACAAGGTATAGGTTGATTGACCAAGTAATTCTCGACAAACGCTTCTGAGCCATCCATGACGGGTCTTGTCCTTGTAGATCATGGAAACATCGGCGCCCGCTCGGAGGAACTCGCGCAGGAGTGAGTGATAGATCCCGAAAACGGAGCTAGAGAGACTTGAAGACTTCCTTGTTAGTCTGCATAGGAAATCTTTGATCAGTGTTCCATCCCATGTTATGGCGTTTGGATCCAGTCCGTATCCAAAGAGGCACTTGAAGTATCTCAATGTGTTCCGCAGATTGTCTTCAGAATCAGCATCCTTGCGATCTAGTATTACGAGCAATATCTCAGTCTTTGCATTCAAGTTGGCGCCCTTCTCAAGGAATAGCTCTAAAACAGCCCAGCATTGCTCTTTCTGCTCGCCGTCCATGAGCTTTGTTACTTCGCCTGCGAAAGCGGTCCAGGTGGTTATGCCATCTATGACAGCATTGGGGTCCGCTCCTAATTCAAGCAACTGCTTTACCAATGACGGCAACACGCAGTTGCCGACGGGCTGGGAGATAGGAGGGTCTAACGGATCCTTGGGCTTCCTGGATGAGTTATGACGCTCGATAGTAGATGGCAGGAGGCCGTATTCCTCGTCAAAGAAATTAACTGGGCGAGATACCGTATGTCTGAGGATACGATCGAGGCTTATCTTAGGCCCACTCTTGTTTACTCGATACTCGAGATAATCTGCGTGGCCAATCGAAGCAGCGAACCGAATGATATCACAGTTCAGACCGCAACTTGTATGACGCCTGATGGTACGCCCGTTCTCTACTTCTGCTTGGTTAATTACCTCGAAGCAGTGTTCCGTATTGTCTGTTTCGGAGGCGCCTTGGCTCGCCAGTTCCACGGCTAGCTTCAGCTTGGAGAGATACGAATGCTCATCGATGAACTTGGATTCGGCAATCAGAGCACGACCTATTGCGGTGCACACGTTGAGCTCTCCCAAGGCCCAGAAGTCGAGCTTTTCCCTCATGCGTTTTGTAGAGAGGAAGTCGCTCAAGGTACGATGTAGGAAGTCTACTTTAGTGTGGGCGCTCAAGTTGACCATGGAAGTGACTTCTAACAGACCTTTGAACCGACCATTAAGCCGCCTCTCAGTCTGAACAGCGCGTTTCTGTATGTCAGCTGCTTGCCATCTGTGACTGGGTATAGCAAAGCCGAAAATCTTGTCCTCTTGTTCCAAGAAGTAGTAATGTATCAAGTCTAGTTGAAGAGGGGTCCGCATGGCCGCGAGGAATGTACGAGCCATCCGGCTTCGATATATCCCTTCAACAGATACTAGTATTTGATCAAAAAACTCTTCTAGATCCGATGGTATCGCACGCAGCCGCTCATGTAATAACGAGATTGAATCCTCGTTGATGATGCCGTCGCGTAGCGATCTGACTACCAATCGAACCCAAAGAAATACCCCCTGAGCTCGCTCTCCAATGTCCCTTATCAGATCGTTGAAGACATTGGACTCGAAGTCGACGCATGGGCTGTAGGATCGCAGCAGCGTTTCCTGTGCGAATAACTCAATGTCTGGTCTTGTGAAATCATGGATTCGAAGCGCGTGCGGGTTTGCTTGTCCGAAAGACCTTTGAAAACAGTTCCAAGGTCTACTGGAAAGGCACAATTTGACGTTGGGGGCAGTAGACAGGTCCCGCATGGTCTCAATCACATCCCAGCTGTCTCCGTAATATTCGTCAAGACCGTCCACCTGGAAGTAGAACTTGGTGGTCACAGCAGACTGTGTCCGGAATAATGCGATCGACCTTTGCAGTTCGGGAAGGGTCCATGGGATTGGTGGGATGATGCTATCAGGCTGAGGCGGATACTCAGCATTCCATCGTTCAGGACATATCGTAGGAGCTAACTCCGGACAAGCATGCAGTATGTGGTGAAGGAGGCTCTGGAGAAGTCCTTCTAGAGACTTTTGCATCTGTTGACCCGGTTTCCAAAAGTAGAAGCATGCTCGGACCAGCTGTGCGTTCCCACACCAGATTCCAAGATCTTGCGTAGTGGCGCCATGGTCGTAAACATACTTCATCAAGGTTGACTTTCCAGAACCTGATACGGTATTTAGCTATTCGATCACACAACGATAACAAGCCGCAATTACCTGGCTTTCCTGTAATCCAATAGATTCCATGACCACTTTGCAACCATTGTGTGAACCCGATATCACGATTGTACATCCAATCAAAGGTTCTCACGTGGGCATCTTTGATGGCGCTTTGTCGTATATGCATGCAGTCGTAGCGGAGACTGGCGACGATCATGTAACTTCGGGACACCTGATGAACCTTCGAAGATAGCCGAGAGAAATTATCCTGGAACGCCTTCAATACAGCATCGCTGCAGAAACCCGAGATGTTTTGCTGCGTAGCCTGGAGCTGAACGTCCAATTCATGGATCTGTGCAGTGATCTCGTAGCCCGTCTGGATGTTCTCCTTTTTCCAATTCTCTAACGAGACCATTAGAAGAGACTGATTGTCGCTAGGCGAGTCATTAGTGGAAAGAAAGGCAGACAAGGTCAAGGAAGCTTACTTCGTGTCAGATACTAGATGCACTGTTACCCGGTCTCTAAGTCGCTCCAACCTCGTCATCAATTCTTCAATGTGCGCTTTTCCCCACACAGATTTCAGTGCTTGCCGAAAGGTCTGCCACCTTGTTGGTGCTTTTCCAGACCCCTGTCGATGTTTGTGTTGGAGTTTGGTGATTGCATCCAGAAGTTCACAGGCAATAGCGTCACAGCGACGGGCGACGTCGGAAAGTCGCATAGCTGAACGCACATTCGAAGATATCAGGCTTGTGAATGTCCTGATGTCCTGGGCTATGATATTGAGGTCAACATTTTCGTTCAAGGTGCCCGACGCAGACTCCTGTAGTTCCCTGGTCTTTGATATCAGCACAAAGGTGAAGGAAACGAATTGAACGATATTGCCGGCCAGACCAATGGCAGCAAGTCCTTCTGCCATCCTGACTGCGATCTTTCCACGTAGGCCGTAAAGGCATGAGCGAACGAGGTGCGCCCGACGTCCGTTTCATACATCGAGATTGTGCAGTTATCAAGCTGTGTTAGGCTCCGCCTTCACTAGGATGAGGGCTGTGTCGATCTATAGCGACCTATGATTCGACGGGAGGAAATCAGTGGTGGCGCGAGGTGCATCGTGCATTTCGATAAGGCAGAATGATGCTCTCATGCAGCGTCATTCCGGTCAAGTGTGGCGGTTTTGGTTGGTGAAGATCGAAAGTTAGAAGCTATGGTACTTGGCGATGTCCAGGTGCGCCTGCCACCACAATGGCAAGGCACACCGTAAGTAGTAAGCGCAAGGCTTCATACATTCTAAAATGCCATCCAAGGGTGCCAGTGTTTCTCGACAGTATGCGACAGTCTCAGGTTCTGGATTTGATACGTGGGCAAGAAAGAACAAACTGCGAACGTCTCTATTTGCAGAGCGTTGCTGATGCTATGCGCACTGCACACGCAAGGTTGCGACGAGCCAGCCTCATCTTCCCGCTACCATGCAACTCTTCGCTTCCTATACTCTCGCCTTCAACCACTCGCCCGCCCGCTTAGCCATATTCACAGCCTCCTGGTTAAACCCTAGAAGGTGACCAAGAAGGAGAATGTCATGAGGGACATTCTCCTCAATATCCAACTGAAGATCATTACCCGCCTCCTTCATCTTCTCCGCCCACTCCACGATATCAAAGTACAGCACCTCGCCGCTACCCGTATTCACGAACATAGGCACCTCAGTCTTGAACGTCCGGTTCTTCTGCGACACGTAAGGCTGCGACAGCACCTTGTCCCCACCCTCGCCCGCATACGCGGTTGTGCCCCAAGCCGTAAAGGGTGGGGAGATGTAGTCGGTAGCGTAGTTTCGGTTGTCGTGGACGTAGGAGCCGGAGGTATCGGCAGGGTTGGTCCACGGTGACCAGAGAAGCGCGGAGGAGGGGGCGGCTAGACCGAGTTCGGAGCCGTAGTCGGTGATGTAGCGGAGGAGCGCGATGGCGAGGTTGCCGCCTGCTGAGTCTCCGGACAGGATGATGTTCTTTGGGGAGATCTTGAGGTCGTTCAACAGGTATAGGTATGATGTCAGGCTGTCTTGCAGGGCGGCGGGGAACGGGTTCGACGTCTTCGAGACGGGCAGGGTGGAGAGGCGGTATTGCGGGCAGAAGACGTGCGTGGCTGGTGTGTGCTTGAGGAGTTTCTTTGCCATGGGTCCGCTGGCTGCTGTTCGTCCATCCCCTAGAAAGAATTAGTTTTGGACGCGCCTGAGTTGTGTAATCGGCATGCTCACCTGTGACGAAGGCTCCGCCATGAATATGGAGGACCACTTTGGTGTTTTTATCGCTGCCCGTGGTCAACGGCGCAGGAAACCACGTCGCCCCGATTTCCACGGGCACAACATCTTTGTTGCTTCTCAATGGCCCCTTGTAAACATCGCCCTTGGCCGGCTTGATGACTACGAAGCGCTCCTTCTCTTGTTCCGGTGTCAGGGGCAGCGGCGTGGCAACCTGCACCTTTGACACGTGCCATAGACCAGAGAAGAAGGCATGCACGGTGATAGCCTGTCGAAGAGTCCAGCTGGGATGCTGACGGCCGAGAACGAGGAACTTGATGAGGATGATAGGGAACCGCACGAGCTCGAAGCCCAGGGCGCCCAGCCCATAGACGGCCTTTACGGGGTGTTGCGTGAGGTCAACCATGGCAGTATCGACAGAGATGAAGAGAGCTCCATTGCGGGATTACGACTTATAACGCGATGACGATGGTGTGCCGCTTGCCTGTGATTGTTGAGGGGCGGCTGGTTCTGAGGATCTGAGCCGAGGTCCTTGGCGCTGCTAGCTCACGATCTCGAAAACTACCCCACATCTGCACCTCGACTTTTCCAACACTTTCCCCTATCGACTTAGGACAATCGCATCTTGGTACGCACCGCGTTCGGTCCGGCGACCTCGCAACCTGTTCTCGAGCACGCAACAACAATCCGATGTCACAGAGCTTACGTTCAGGCGACTTACGCGTCCCGGACGACTCTCCGGCGTGCTGGTCTAACTTCATACTCCCAGATCGCTTATAGACAGGCACACATGCTGGGGCACCCTGACGCTTGTCAGGCAGGAATCTAGAAGAGTTACCTCACCTCACTCCTATGTACTGCGGAAACATCAATACGATTGATAGAACACTGCTTTCCAGCCGACACGCAGGATCAGGCAATTATCGATACTCTACTAGGTTGCTACCAGAAAGAGCTTGGGTCTCGCTACGTCACGTTGCAGGTTCACCTGGACAAGTCGCTTTTGAATTTTCTCTTGATTGGGTATCTCAATCCTCTCTTTTTCTTTCCAACATCAGTAAGCCTTTCTACGGCTCAATTTTTACTACCATCAACCAATTGCTGTTGCGTGAGGCACTCGTCTCTTTCATCTCAAGAGAAGCGTAGCATTGACTTGTATCATGAACGCCTGCTCAAAACCGTGGCATTCACACTACCGAAGCCAAGTCGACAGGTAAGAATGCCAGTCGAACCAGACTCGCTTCTGGGCCTATGGATTATAACGACGTTCTTTCTTCGGCACCGGAGGGATGTAAACTTCATCGGTGTCGTCCCGTTCGGGATTCTTTCCACGGGATTTCCTCACATAATACTTGATCAGCGCCAGTATATCCTCTCGCGTAGTGCAAGTGTCGCGACTGAGCTTTGTGTTCCGCCCTTGATCAATACGCTTCCGGATCCTTTCCTGTACTTCGTCCAGCTTCCCTTCCGTAAGCGTTGCTAGATCCAGAAGGAGGACCAGGAATTCCTCGCCCCATATCTCAATGTCAGCTGTGTGTCTGTAGCTGAGGCTATTTGGAAGTGCTTGTTGCACGTGTTGTATATTCCAACGACTGCAGATCTCCTTGATCACGTCGTTGATGACTGGTTCGGGGGTCGGAGACCGTGAACGTTGCGCGTCGGATGGTATCTGCATGGTTGATGTCGATAAAGAGGGTCTTGCGATGGTCTTGGTTGCGGTTGCAATACCTTGCCTGGGTCGTAGAAAGTGGCCGGTTGGTGTAGAGAGACCGTGATCGTATAGGAGCTCGCGGGATTATATGGTGTCGGGGAGAGACGTGTGACTGAACAAGGTCGCCATCCATCGGTTTGAATGAGGAGTGACCGCACAAAAGCTCACATCTCGACTTTCACCCGAATCAAAACGCCTGCGGTTTACCTCGCGCTCGCACTGGTGAAAGCGATAGCCTAGATACATCGCGGGAATGGATGTCGTGCGATTTACGCTTTTCTGGAAGAACTTGGTATATACTGCGTACCTGATGCCATGTATTCGTCCCGGGTGACCAGTGTAGCAGTTGAAGGTCAATATATATGATATACTCAAGGTAAATCTTGTAAGGAGCGGAGGCTGAGTTCCACACCCATCCGATTTGGTGATGAGACGTCAGGTCGGACGATGTGCATCATTTGTACGGATAGCTTGTACATATGTGAAAAGCTTGTTTGATGTTTGTCTCCAAACAGTGAATCATGAATGTTCCATCGATGTCCAATCTGGCTTGCTGTCAGGCGAGCTCTTTGCGCCCTTCACACCTTCAGTGCAAGGACGAGGCGTCGGAATCGAGTGAAACTTGAAACAATTGACTGTGAATGGATACAGACAAGTACAGCAATGCTTCAATCATTCAATCATTCTTGTCTCTTCATTGTGGGCAGATGACAGACCTGGAGGAAGAGGGAGAGATTTGCTTACTCAGCTTACTCCGCCAAGCCAAACCCTGGCGTCCTTCCGCTCAGAGCTCCCACCAGCTTCTTCAATCAAACCTTGTGCCTTGATTTCTGCCACCGGCATCCTTTCACGGTTGAAGAAGGCTCGCAAACTAGCGCCGCTCCTTCTTTTCGCATCGCCATTCCTTGCGAATATACGGGATCGTGATGGCAAACTTCAGCTGTCAGCTGTCGCACCTGCCAGAAGCTGTCAAACATGGAAGGAACAACATTGCACATGCACGCTGATATCCGCCGAACAGTCTTCGCCAAAAACGTCGGACTAGTGCGCTCCTCGTACGATAAGCAAAAGCAGAGAACAATGGGGACGTCGCATGCATAGCCTTGCTAGCTATCATGCCTCGGTATGAGATGATGCCCCTTTTCGAAAGTCAGGCGCGCGCGGAACCCTTTCAATGAACGGTATCGTAAACTATTGATCAGACATACATGCGCAGTCGCAAACATACTTAGAAGCAATAACAGCAAACACCCACGTCTTCCAGTCGTCGCTGTGGTGTTGGATCGACTGTACGCTCGACGGGTCAAGAGCTCCACCAAATCACTGGGTACCTGCATCCGTCGGCAATTCCGCCGAGAGAAGGCGAACCCCGACCACTGCTTGCCGCGTGCACAACCCGGAGATTTTCAGGGCCAATTGGCTAGAAGAAAATGCCCACCATGCATGGGTTTCATGATGCCAAAATTAGATGGCAACGGTCTAAGATCGTATTCTAGACGAAGCTGTCCTTAGCTTCTCGGTGAGAGTAACCGCAACCCCACACCTTCCATGCTCCATCCTACATCGTATACAGAACACGAACTTAGTCGCCGCAACGGGCACTATGGCAGCCTTTCCCGTATGCGCATTGATCATGCGCCGTTTAAGAAGCCCCGTACCGCTACCCTTTAATAGCATTGCGCATTCTAGAGGCCTTATATACCGCTGCTCGGCGCAACGGTCTTCACCATCATCATTTGACATTCGTTTAGTCCTTCGTTAGAACATCCAAACATATTAATTATGAGGAGAATCCAACTAATCAGCCTCGCGCTGCTTGCCCCGAGTTGTCAAGCCTACGTCTGGCCCAGCAAGTACGACCAGCTCGATGACCTACTGTATCTGCAATCTGGATACATCAGGAACGGAGAACTCTCAGATCGTACGTACCTGTTTCCCTCAGTACATACCGCTTAGGACTTACACAACAACAGAGGTCCAGACCTGCTCATTCGGCGCTCGCCAACCAGGCATCCAAAAGGCCGCAGAATGGGTGCGAACGAACTTCCACGACGCCGTCACCCACGATGCCTCAACGGGAATTGGAGGCTTGGACGCCTCGATTCAATACGAACTCGACAGACCAGAAAATCTCGGTGCCGCGTTTAACAACACCCTATCCGATATGGCCAGTTCAGTCAACATCCGGAGCTCCGCAGCCGACGTTTTGGCTTTGTCATTGGTCATGTCTGTGGCTCGTTGCGCTGACATGCGCGTGCCTCTACGACTGGGCCGCAAGGACGCGGCAGAGGCTGGCATCAAAGGCGTGCCGGAAGCGCATACCGACCTCGACACCACAAGGAAGAGATTTGAAACTGCCAGTTTGACGGAGAAGGAGATGATCACTTTGATTGCTTGTGGTCACAGCATTGGTGGTGTTCACTCAGTCGATCACCCGGAGATCGTTTCCGGTCCCGTCACCGCCGAGAACAAGGCGACTTTCGATACAACCAGCGGAGAGATGGACAACGCTGTGGTAACGGAGTACCTCAACAACTCCACAGCGAATCCCTTGGTCGTCAACGCCAACAACACTTTGAACTCCGACAAGCGCATCTTCCTTGCCGACGACAACGCGACTATGCGCAAGCTTGCAGACAAGGCTTACTTCAAATCGCAGTGTGAAGCTGCATTCGAGAAACTGATTCACCTCGTGCCAGGAGATGTCACACTAACGGAGCCCATGGAGCCAGCCGATATTCGTCCTTACATCACAACATACCAACTCAAGGACGGAGCAGTCGAGTTAACAGGACGTCTTCGTGTCCGAACCACACCAGTCACCGGCCGCGACGGCGACACACTCACAGCTTCTCTCATTCCAGTTTCGCGCAATGGCAGCGCAACCACCGAGATCGTCGCCAACCGCGCTACCTACAAGTTAGGAACGTCCTCTGGATACCTAGACGAAGTGTTCCAGTGGTTCGAATTCACCCAGACACTCAACGCGACCGATGTCTTCGACTCCTTCACCATCCGCGTCAACGACAAGACCTACGACAACGGCGGCACAGGCAGCTATCCCATCAACCCCGACGTCCTCTACCAAGAAGCGCAATCATGCACAGCCAAGGACACCACAACAGGCGAGTGGAAGATGACCATCACCGCAGCCGTTTCCAAGTCCCTCCTCCAGACCGGTGCTACACCACAGCTCAACGTCTCGAAGAAGACCAAGGTCCAGGGCCTTGTTATTCCTCGTCTTACGCCAACGATTGTCGAGATGAAGCCCGCGGGCAAGGAGACTGCCGAGTATGTGTATTACACTGCGACGACGGTTCTGAGTGAGAGGGGCCTTGATCCTACGTTTGATATTGAGGTTGGGGAGTCGAAGGTGGAGTTTGTTAATGCGAATGCGCTTACGCAGCAGGAGTGTGCGGCTTTGTAGATACCCATAGTTAATGAACATTTTCAATTTCTTCAACCACCAAGTCTCTCACAGCTACGACAAGATGTGCCTCGAACGGATGCAAGAGACTACATAGGGTAAGTCAATGTCGCCATAACGCCTTGCTACAATTGGAAACCGCTACTCCCGCTCACAACCCTAGCTCGATAGCAGCTTCCTCGATCTGCATCTCTGTCTTGTACAGCTCCCCTTCAGTCTCGACACCTTCCCTTATCTGCTCGGCCCAAGCCAGATGATCTTCGTATTCGACGCAGAAATCGGGATCTGTCAGCCACCAATCGATTAAGACCTCGTCAACACCGTTTTCGATGGCAGGAAAATCATCATCGTATGAGAACCTGAATAATTGATCATCGGGGTTGACAGGATTTATGCGAAAGCAATCGAGTTGAAGCTGCAGAATGATCTGGTGCAGTGGTGAACGAGCTCCAAAAGACCGCGCAAGAAGTCCTAGGTATATACCGACTTCGTGTGCGTTGTCCGATGATTTGAAGATTGCTTTTGCGAAGTCGATTTTCAATCCTGGTATGGAGGTTCCTGGAGATGCGACACTTCTCTCTTTCGTAGATCCTGATATGAAAGGGAGTACAACACCGCCAAAATCGTCATCGACGAGGAATTCGCTCATGTTGAATCCGCGCTTCATGAGCGTCTCCACAGAGAGTTCATGAATGAAGTATTTCTTTGGTATCTCCCATTCGAAAATATACTCGTATCGCAGTCGCCTGGAGTTCTTCATCTTAAATTTCTCGGCTAAATCCTCCGCGTGATGATAGGCATACTCGTCTGCATACGGCACGTAGAAGAACGCGATCCAGATCTGGCTCGCGTCTTCTCCGTCCTTGTAACATTTGTTGAAGGCGCGCCTGAGGGTATCAATCATGCGGCTGCTGACAGAGACAAGGGCAGTCGGCTTCGTTGTGTGAAGAACCAAATGATTGATGAACTCAGGGAGAAGGTCGTCGCCTAATGGACGTGCTTGCCCTGGACCTTTGCCAGAAATGAGGCCGCCAGCGCTGATGTGCGAGTAGCATCGATAAAAGTAAGATCCGCGATCGTTCATTCTGATGTATACTGCATGCGGAGGAGAAACGCTGGGAGATCTATTTGCGAGCAACTGTGAATTTGTTCCCCGCACGAGCAGGGTTGGTGGTATCATCCAGCACCCTGCCTGATTTCGGAGCTACCTAGTTATCGTTATTCCCGGAGCCGCTCCAGAAGTCATATACGCATCGTCTTTGTAGCATCAACAACAATGCGCATGCAATAATGGACGCATTTTCCCGATGGAAGCAATATGATCGGAATACAAATAGTGCAGTCAAGTGGCCTACTCGATGGCACTGCTAGAGGGGTTTAGCGCGAGATCACGGTGCTCAGTAGTATGCGATATATCAACACACATCCCACACTGACAATCCTTATGGCACACGATTTTCTTGAACATCTATGAGACCAAGCCGAGCTCTAAGTCTTCCTAGTCATCTACTAATACATCATCCCCACCGCCCACACCAGGAACGCCGAACCATGCAACCCAACTCTACAACTTCGAAGACAGCTTCCCGCTCTTTTGCGCCGTGTAGGTGGCGATGAGATCCATCAAAGCTGGGCTAAGTACATCGTATGTCTGCAGACCCTCCTTCCGGAACTTCTCTCGTACGGCGTCCATCTCCTTCGGATTGAAACCCTGCTCGATGATGCTGCTGACGAAGGCGGCGAACTGCGGCTCCTGCCATCCCTTCTTGTCACTGAGTTCAACGTGGACGAAGTCAAGGCCCTTGAATGGGTGGTCGACGACGATGCGACCGAAGAGGTGGACGCCGCATTGCTTGCAGGCATTGCGCTGGATGGCCGCTGATTCGTCGATGATGTGCAGCTTGTCGCCGTTGGCAGTGACGGAGACGTTGTCCTTTGGAATGACGCCAACGACGGAGAAGAGCGCGCCCTTTGGCTTCCAGCATTTCGAGCAGCCGCAGGCGTGGTTGTGCGCGACGTTGCCAGCGAGGGTAACTTCGACCTTCTTGGTGGGGCAATGGCAGTAGAGCTTGCCGCCGGAAAAGTTGGGATCGCCCTTCTTGATACCGTTGTCGATGGCGGGGTGGATGGACGGCATTATGAACGCTAATTTATCGATGATTTACTTGTCGAAAGAGGTGGTTGTTTGAGGTTATCTGGAGGGTGACAAAGTCGCAGATACTCAGGTACCTAGGCGCACACTATATACGGGTCCTGCGTTCCACATCGAGACTATCACCCCCTCACGGGACTGCGCAACCGATCAAGAAAGAACCGCCCCAATATGTGGTGCGACCGCACGCAATACTGATGGTATTGTGGATTGGAGGTGCGGAGCCGCATAACGTTGCCGCTTTAGGTCACTCGGCCCTTCCCCGCCTCGCTTTGGAGATTGCCGCGATACAGCTGCCTGCCCTTTGGAGGCGATGCAGATGTTCATATTCACTGCATTTCGCAAACATGAAGAGACGATCCGTCACTACAGCTTCGAGACGAGACCGACGCTCTGATGAGCATTGCATTCGGTGGTGGTGTTGCACGTGCGAAGTAGAGGATGCCTCGCATCGGCGCCCGGCAAGACCCTGACTATGTTCGCAGTGGGAAAACAGTAGCCAAGAGCGGTAGTCCGCCAAAAGAGCACATCCAAAGACACCAAAGCTTGTACATCTGTCGATCCAAACTTCCATCCTGTATACCGACTGCTCGCATAGCCGTACCCACCAAAAGCCCACCAAGACAGACAGAAACCACCGCCGCCTCCCAGCGAGCACCCAAGAAGACCAGCGGTGCATAAAATGTCCAGAAAACGACGGCCACCGCAACAGTCCACAGCGCACGTCTCCTACCCAACTCAATCGGAATGGTACGCCGGCCACGGGCTCGATCGCCGGCTTCGTCGCGAAAGTCTTGGGCATGAATCGTTGTGCCGATGATACCAAGTGTGACCAGAAAGATCCATTGCCATGCTGCGTAGCTCATCGTAGTATCCGGGCCAAGGGCGATGCTTAGAGCGCCGCTGAAAGGGCAGATGAGGCCAAGAGCACAGATGGCATTGCGCGAGATGCCGCTGTAGTCGCTTCCGCCCACATCGTGGTACAAGGTGTTGAAGACAACCCATGCGACGTAAATTGGCACTACATTGGACTGGTAACTGACAAGTGCAAGTGCCAGGTACGCAGCAATCATCAGATTCGTAGTCTGTGCTGCATTGATTCTTCCTGTTGGGATTGGACGCCAGGGCTTGTTGATTGCGTCTTCTTGGACTGAGGATTCATGACGCTGGTTTTGCAGGCAGCATGGCAACAGCATCAGCCAAAGCCACGTCAAGGTTGTTGGTACTCTTCGCAACACCGCGAGACCGTCTTGGGATGGTAAACCCAAAGCTGGGCCGGAAAGAGTGGCGAGCACGCCAAAAACAGCGGGAGGGATGACCACATCTTTTAGGTTGTCGCACGTGAAGAGGATCAAGGTGTGGGCATGATACAGGATCTTCTCTGCGGCCCTTGATGGGCTTGCGACGACTTTGGATATGGGGTGATGTTCGATGTACGTAGAGACATCCATCCTCTCACTCATGGCTGACGACGTCCCCTCCATGGCAGATAAAGTGTATGCAAATTGAATAGGGTAAAGAGGTTGATGTTAGGACTTCCACCAGGATGAGTTGCTGTGTGTATGCCCTTCATAGCTTCTTTGTTCGTCTCTTACAGCACATCTCAGCGAACGCGGGCAAATATTGTCACTCCAGGACTGGATACAGCTTGCTATTGGCTCGCATGCCAGAATCAATACTGCTCGTGCATCCCACGTGTAGCGGAAAGATGAATGAGTGGTACGGTACCATTAGTATTTTGCATCACATCCTGCTTACATGCCTTATCTCGATGCAAGCCCTGCTGTTCGTGTACATCACTCCCTCTATCCAGCCTCGAACATTGCCGTCGCATACTTATCGCACGGTAAACCGGCATCTGGCGACGAACTTGTGAAAATTAAAGCTTTACAAGTGGTTGTTCATGTTGCGTCCCTGTTACGCCCGGCAGGGTGCATATAGATAGCTAAGCGACGTTGTCCGCCTTGTTTTGAATGAACCTTCGGCTAGCAGGTGGAAAGATTGGGTTTCTGGCCATCGTGGGCCTGAGCTATGTAGCGCCATCCTGCGAAGAGAAGGGATCTAATGGAAGATGATGATTCGCATCTTAATGTGTGTTGCTAACGTCCAGAACGCATGTACGCGACATCCACGCTGTGGGCTTTGCTGGTGAACAAGATCGATCCTGTAACTTCATGCATTGGGTACGGGCTTCTTGGTGTCCAGCTTTGGTTCTGATAGCAGCAGTGAGGCCAATCAATGGCCCAGTATTTCGGTAGGTGATCAGTGATCCAGGCAATCTTTCTTGGTGCTGCTGCCCAGCTTGGTCGACAGACGCTCCGTACCGCCCGCGTTCATCGAAGGCGCTGTGTTGTATACGCCATACCACGATGCATTCTGTTCGTCATATCTGGTGAAATTGTCTTGGCTCCTGACAAGTAGCATCGTTACGGCAAGATGCCAGGGTCATGAGTCTTTGATGGCCAGAGAGATGTTGGAAGCGGCCGTTGGCAATTATGGGGTTAGCCGAAATGTCGCAGAACTCTCTCTCAATGCTCTCCCGTTAGCTATGTAGACACTGCTACCAGAGCGGTATGTGCAATAGAATTGTAGAGCCATAGTCCAGACGTGACAATGTGACATGCTGATGCCGCGGAAGAATGCATCCGCGAAGGTAAGGAGTCCTAGCATAGTGCCACCGCATGCGCGCGAAGCCTCCGCCCGTGACCTGCCATATGTGCTTCGCAATCTTACCCTGTCGATACGGATGCTTGCTATACAGTCCTGTATCTTGCGGACGCGTCGTGAAGATGTTGTTTTGATCGAGTCCTGAAGGGTGGAAACTGCAATGATGCGCGCGAGGACGGGGCCACCTTGGCAAAGCGGCACGGGCCTCAGCCAACGTGCCTATCCGAGGTCGCACCTGCCGTGTCTGCTCGCGCACCCCACTCAACTCATCTCTACATCAATCCTTCGTTCGACATGCATGGGTCCTTGTAACTGCTTCGCTGGAATTCCATTGCCATTATGCTTCGAAAGCGTACGACAGGTTCACCGCGCGGGAGGCACCATTGTACCTTCGTCATCCGTCGGCAGCTGTGAACGTGGCCAGCGGCTATCACACTACCAGAGCCGGGGAAGTGATCCTTTGAGTAGGATCGAGACCTCCTTCAACGCGTGCTAATGCACGACTGGAAGCTCGCATTGGAGCCGTTCGCCCAATATCAGTGTATGCGGACTTTTGGCCTACTCACTCGTACATGAGCGTACATTTGCGATCAACTCTTGACTGTAAAAGGGCCAGCTAACCTCGTCCTTGATCCCATCTCGATCTTTCCACCGATCTCTCGACCATGAAGCTCATCGCGGCGATAGCATGTGGCACCGTTGCCGCCACCGTGAGGGTGTCGGCTCAAGATACGTTCGAAGCACCTGATTTCAATGTAACCGAAGCGCTCATCCAGAATGGGGTCAACGTTTCCGCAATGCCTGAATTGGCGCGATTGGCCACCCGATCGTCTTCAAGCGGCTGCTCCGTCGCAGTAAGTTTTGGCGCTGTGCTTCTCCGCAGCATGAGCTAATTCCCGCGACAGTGTGGCTCGCTCGAAGTCGTCTTCGGTAAAGAAAAGACTGCACGTGGTCAAAATGCCGAATACTGGTCGAACCAACAAGCCGCCGTTGTGCCGTATTGCACCTTTACTCCCAAGGTCACTCTTGAAGTGTCATCCTTGGTATTGATATCTCGCCTTACCCAGTGCCCCTTTGCGGTGAAGAGTGGTGGGCATGCCGCGTTTCCAGGTGCTTCCAGTATCCATGGAGGCATTACGGTTGACTTGAAAGACTTCACCGTGCGCAAGCTGTCTGCGGATAAGAAGACTGTTGCTATTGGGCCAGGTAACCGGTGGATAGATGCATACCGGTATCTCACACCGTACAACTTAACGATAGTCGGT